GGAAGAGTGCAGAAAAAGCAGCTGATTTTTTTCTTGTCGGACCAGTGTGCAATATCCCTTATTCCACTCTCTCCTCCCCTAAATAAAATGAACTTATTGATCTTGTTTTCCCTAGACAGCTTCTTTACTATGCGAATTATTAATGCTGTAGGATTAATTTACGTAGTGAAAGAGTCCACTAGTGGTCTTATTAGGCAATGAGCCCAAACCCTCTTAAGTTAACAGCGTTTGTCAGCATTGTTTTGAAGGCAGCCCATTGTGTCTGTCTAAGACAAACATGCCACATGCAAGAAGCTGCTTCCATCTCTGACACCCAGGCAGCCACTAAAGCTGCAGAGTTGAACCATGCTTTGGGGAGACTCACTTCGTCTGTGTGCCTATGACAGCAAGGAGTGTCCGGTTTGCATCTTGCTTTACTTGGTACCCAAACAACACACTTCATAAATACGTGGCTGCCTTGGCTACTACGTGGTTCCCTTATCTCTCACTGCATAAAGCAAACTTTCGTCTTTTTAGTCATAAAACTTGAATAAACAACCTTTGCTATAATTGGATAAAAATGAAGTCTATGTATGAGTAGCTATGAAATACAGTACAGTTTTAGCTGCTTTTGTAGGTTAACCTAAAATGCAGTTTCCTTACTGGAATTTATGTAAAATACTATTTCACTTGCATTCATTATGCTATACAACTCCACATTAACAGAAAGGTCAAGACTAAATATTTATGTCTGTGCAATTTTATTCTAACATCTTTAAAAAAAATAGGTTTTGAAATGTAGTTATTTGATAGCAGATTTTGAAGACTTAAAAGACTTAAAACTGCCTGACAAATTAGTAAATGTGCCATAACTCTTCCCTTATCATCACTAGTTCTCTAAACTAATACAGAAACCAAGGTAGTGCTTATTCTTGCCTTTCAAACTGTGAAACGCTGTTATAATGCTACACCAAACCCCAGATCAGATATGTTTAACATCATCTACAGGTGACAAAAGTTTGTGTATATGTTTTAGTCCCTTAAACAAAGAAAAGCTGTTCCAGATCTGTCTCATCATTATCCAGAACATTAAAACCTACCTTTTAGTGTGGGGAGAAATCTGTCTCAACTGAGTTAGTCAGAATTATGTCGTTGATTCACACAGGTGGACCTTTGTCTAATATATTAATCAAGACAAAACTTGAATGTCCTTCTAGTCTTAATAAAATGAAATCTGAGCAATTATTCTGGGGTTTCTCTTCTCTGAGCTTCGTATTTCCTGTCCCTGGAGGAACGGACCAGCAAACTCATCTATGTGAATATTTCTTGCTGCTAGCAAGAGCATGTTGCAGGTAACTCAAGAAGAGCACAATAACGTAGTGGATATAAAATCTATTCAGCCCCCTGGATCACTATCCCTTTTCACTGTAAGGTCTTTGCTACTTGTACCTTTAAGTCAATATTCAAGAATAAAAGCTAAAACTAAGTGTATTTAAAGCGATCACATACTAGCATGACATTATAGTGATTTTAATTAATACATTTGAATCCATTCTTTATCAGACTACCATCAGAGACACTCACAGTGGCTTATTGAAGGCAATTCTGCAATTGCAGTATTTTAAGATAATCTCTAAAACCATGGGTATTTTCTTCTCGTGAAATTTTGTCAGGCTATCACCAAATTCACTGGGATATAAAATCATTTTGTGATTCCAGGAATACTTAAAGGTCTGTTAACTGATTCTCATAATTTACAGCACTTAAGAGATCAACGATAGAGAAGCACCAGATTTATTCTATCCCTTCAGGTCTAAAATTTTTTTATTGTTATTCCTCCTTTGAAAGTCTGAGGAAGCCGAACTGTTCACTGACACAGACACACACATTTACCAGTCTGAGAATGGAGACACTACAGCTGCCTTCCCCTAACACTGTGTTCCAGTCACTGCGTCTGCAAATCGTGAGTTGCATCTTATTTTAAAAGATATAGGAAAGTTAAGAAAGGAAAGCACAAAAGATGACAGGGACAGAGGAGTGATTCTATGTTTAAACTTTGATCACAAACACAAAGAGGAATTTTGATAAAGTTCTGAAATAGCAAATAGAAGTAACAAAGCTTTAAAGTAGAAATATAAAATGCATTTGTTCCTTCATGAAAGGCACCATACTCCAGTCTTGGATTTCTCCTCCTCTTGAGGGGGACAACAGATGAGCAAGGGATTCCAAGGATGTGGATGAAGAAACAGATTGCTTGTAAATACTCAGCACATGGGAATCAAATGCTAAAGGACTTCATGTTCAACTGCGGTTTCTCATGCAACTCATAACCATAATCAAAACTTTCTCTGCACATAAATGGTAATTGTGCATTATTTTCCATATGACAAGGCTGAATCCTTTCCCAAAAATAAACAACTCATTTACCAGCCATTCCAAGGTCTAAATTGCGTAATTTGCTGTTTATCCCATTCTCTCTCAAGACTGAAATTTATTTGCTCTAATAAAACCACACTTATAGAACCTCCAAGATAAAAAGACCAGATCATTCTTGTCGTTGCTAGCCAAAAGTATTTTCTAGTGTTCAGGCAGAGGTTCTGAGGGGTTTGATGAAGATTTATGCATGTGCTGTCCCATCCTTAGTTACTGTTAAATATACCTTTTAAGTATCTCCAAGAGCAAATTAAGAAACAGGCTTGTATCTTCTTGTCAAATTAGGAGGATCCTTTCCAAAACTGAAGTTCTCATTAAAGGAATGTAAACCTATATCACCAACCTTCACATGGGAAAACTACTTAGACACAGAAACCGTAAGAAAAAAGCCTGAGACATTTTTCAGTATGAGACCTGGAATTTGAAAATCCTGATATGAAGTCTAGTCAAGTTCAGTGAGAAAACTTCCAATAACTCCAATTTGCTTTGAATCAGGTCCTAAAAAATACTGTGATGCTAAGAAGTGGCTTTTACCTTTTATAAGCATATTCATTTGTGCAGTTTTCCAAAACCCTTAAAAAACCAAACCCCTAATGTAATGATAAAAATACTCCTGCTTTTAATGCAGCCATCATATTCTAATTAGATTCTTAAGGCAAAGTCCTAAAAATATAGCAAACTTGCACAATTTTCTCTGAATCTTCAAAGAATTTTTAAAACACAAACCTGTTGAAAGATGATTGAATCTGCATAAACTGTTAGACTTCAAAAACAAATTTGCATTGGAACCAAAACAAATACTCTCGATCATTTAACTATCCCATATCACTTATAGAGGTTACTGTTCATAAACCCAGAGGCTATCAATTGCAGAGCTTTGCCAACATTTAAAATAAGAAATATTTCATTCAATATAGCACGTACCTGATTGACACTGAATAGGGTTTCAGCTCTTTATAAATGTTCTGACAGCATTACATGTCAGCAAGGTTTTCACATAGCAATTCTGGATTTGTTTTCCTTCTTTCCTTTATCTCTGATTCTAAAGCAGCTGTGCCCACCACCACTTAGTCATCAGATCTCAAATATGAATCTTTTCAAAGCAATGTGATGCCCGCACGTCAGTGCAAGATTACACAGATACTATCAGTGTTTCCTTTCCCTGTGAAGGCAAGACCTAAACAGAAGTTCCTCCTCCTCCTTTCTGACATAACAAGCTTCTGAATTTGTCGTTCACTGCAGTTAAAGCTCTTACATGACTGAATCATTTTATAAGCCAAGCATTCTCATATTTAGCACAGAAATATGAATGATTAACTAACCAGCAATTCTGGAAGCAAATGGTGAGATTTTAAAAAGCTAAATCTAACTTTTGATCTCTCTGTCACAGGAAAACCTGAAACACAATTAGCATTTGCTCTGAGCCGGCAATGTACCCATCTGAGACATTTTGGGCAGCATAATTAATAAACTACTTTGGCGTTGTTTTTAAACACCAGATGCATAAACACAGAGAGGAGGGATTTTTTTTTTTTCTCTGTAACTACATCCTTTTTCAAACAAAGCAAATTAACTGGAAGCCATTTAAGGTATTATCTTTATTTTACCAAGTTAACATTTATTAAAAAATATTGAAGAGATGCAGCAAGGTCCAATCCTCAATTATACATTGGGATTGCTTTAAAAATGCTTGACCAGTTGCACAGCATTAATCTGATTTACCCTAGTGAAGCTGACTCGCCTGTAAATTTGCCTGCATAAAGCCTCACGTTATTCAGTCTTGCATTTTAGACCTCAAAATACCTCCAAGTCTACACAACCTTCTGAAATCTCTTGTCAGATTAGGAGATTCGACAGTTGTCAGCCCACACAGCTGAAACAGTCCTGCCCCCTTTCCTATCGACAGCTTCCCTATCGACAGGTGGTATTGCTGTCCTCTCAGTCAGCCATTCCCATCCCAAAAATGCTAATGCAATTTTTCTCAGCATCAGATTTGCCTTTCTACTTTGTTTCTAGGTTCTTTTCCTTGAGCCTCCCCATCTCCTCTCATTACTATTTCGCAGATCCAAACACAGCTGCTTTTAATCTGAATTTCCTTTCCTTTTAACAGTTAGAGCTTTTTGCAATCCACAGGTGATTTAAATCTCTACTGCCAGCACTTTGTGATGATTTCTTCTTATCATGGACCTGTGTCTCTCCAACCCTATTTATACTTGTGGTAACCATTAAATGCTGTTTAAGGGCAAGGTCACGTTTCCTACCATTCTCGGTACTAATGGGATAGGAGTGTAAATGTCCAACTGCATCTTAGTTTTTCACACATACAAGGGCTGCTTTCCCCTCATAGCCTCTAAACCATAGGGTACCTGTACCAGGCCCTGATCCTGCAGGTCCCTTTATTCTAAATACCTGACTCTTGCCAAAGCTGCTCTCTGTTTTGAGCAGCTGTCCCCCTGCCCCTTTCTCAAGGCGGCAACAGAGACTCTACTGCTGAAGGGCCCCTGTTTTCCACAAAAGGATGGCAAAACCTTTCATAACCAGGAAGGACAGAGAGGATGTTACCTATAACCGTCAGCAGAAGTTAGACTTGTGAGGACGTCAGGACGTCAAGAGATCCTTATGGCCGTCTTCTCCCCGTGAAATCCAGGGCAAGCCAATTAGGAAAACAGACACCTGCCTTTTTTTAGTGTAAATCTACCAGAAACCATAGCAGTGCCTGCCATCAGTTCACATTGCAGCACACCAGGTTTCTGCAGAAGAAAACTGTTCTGTATTTGACTGCCTTCAATGACTTCAAGATGTGTTGCCACAGACTTATCTAAGAGTGAATGTACACGTTCTTCCTGGAAGAATGCCCTAAGACTATAACAATACATGTCCACCTCTGCAGAAATGTCCACAAAATGCAGATGTAAGAGGGGAGATGGGAACAAGGACTAAATAAGCATTAGGAGCAAGATTAAGCAGTAACCTGTGAATTGTGTCTTTCCTCACCATTCAGATCTTCACCCAGTTATAAACCACAGCTATTTTGGGTAATACAAACAAAAACCTTCAATAAAGGCAATTTAAGATTGTATTAAGGATTTTAGGTGTTAGATAACCAGATGGAATAAAGAGATAAATGAGCAGGAACCTGTTGGCAGTAGACAAACAAAAACTAGTTCTCTTCTCCCTCTTTCATATATATAAAATGCATATTAGTGTTCCCTAAAAATACACAAAATGAGGCGGCCTTTAATTAACGCGTTTTCCCTGTAGGTTTTTTGGGTGGTGAGTGTCAAGGCAGGAGTTTCCATGCCTAGAAAAGGATTATTAGACTCTGAGTTACAGCAGTTTGTAACTGGAGCAGTGCCTGCCAAGCAGATATGATGTGGAGCAGCTCTGAGGAGCCTTGAGACAACATACCAGACAAAAACAATCCAAATAAGATGTAGCTCATGATGGTACAATCCCCTCTGTGTAAAAGTGCATGAAGAACACATTAGTGTCAATAGATTTAAAAAACAGTTCACTTAGACAAAGGTGTTGTAATGAATAAAATGGGTAAATTTACCTATATGACAACTCAGGCCCGTCACTGATGAGTGGATAAATTTTGTCTTCTCCCAAACTCAAAGAATTACTAATATCATTACCACCTAAAATTATCTAAGGCAGAGCAGTTTCTGGGACCACAGGACTCACCATGCCAACTGTATGACATATAATATCTGTATACTCCCCCAGTAAAGCACTGAGTTTTCTTCTTGGCATTCCCACTATATTTAGCACCACAGATCTCACAGGTACGACTTGGCTTTCTAGCGAATTCACGCTATATAAGCAATTTGAAGAGTGGTTTGACTGGAGGATTCAGCTAACAAAGAACCTTTTTACCACTTCCCACAAGTTTTAAAGATGTTATAGTGAAAGGATCACACTGAAGGAAGAGTGAAGAAAAAGGGCCAGAACAGAACTGCAGAGGGAATCCTTCTGGATCGTGTTCATCAGCGGTTACTTGTTCTTGCAGGCCTATTATTAAATTGCTGCAGCAGTCTCCCTAAGGACACCTGCTGAAAGCTGTGAAAAAAACCTACACGGTTTCATCACAGCATCTCACATATCCATAAAAAAGTGAACTTTAAGAAAAAAAAAGGATGCAATATTGAAGGTGCAGAAATAAATGCCACAATTAGGCCTAAATTAATTTGAAGGAAACTACCCATGCTTCTATTACCTTGAGCAAAGGTATATTGTCCTCATCGCCTGTGAGTATCCGGTGGGTGAATACCTTGCTTTGTTACCCCAGTTTCCACACCAGCACCATAAACTTCATTCCCTAACTATTGCCAAAATAAATGAAAAATCAGTACCACAGGGCAAGGCTTATTTCCACTCCATGCAGAAAAGCTTCTGTGAGCTTTAAATACAGCCATCTGGTTCACAGCACCTCCAAAGCTGATGAAGTTTTTGGCCACCATACTAATCCCTCTCCTTGAGGCTTCCAGCTGAGCAGGGACATGTCTGGATGCTGCAATACATTTAGGTCGCATCCAACACTAGCTGCAGGTTCTGGAGGTCCACTTTTTTGAAGCTCAGCTGCAGTGATAAGCAGCTCTGCCACTGTACTAGGGAGAGACTAATAAAGATGTGGTGTCACACTGCTAACGATTCATTCTTGCTTGCATTCCAAGGAACCCCTATCTTTCTGGTTTAATCCAGGTCGCTTTTCTAGTAGTCTGGAATTAAAACCATTTCTAGTAGGTTCATCCTTGAGAGAGAGAAGCAAAAAGTTTAAAATGTTAAATAATTGCAACATACATTAGGATTCAAGATTGCTGTAGTGTTTTATTCTCTTTGCCACTAGTTGCAGTCTTGGCAGCAGACAACTGAGGTCAAAGGCTGAAAGTCACTGGCTGAGCATGTGGAACTTCTGTTTCTTGATTCTGTGCGAGAGAGAATTCTCTCCAATTTACCTCATCCGATACAGCTTCAACATAGGTGATTTTGAATTCAACTTGGCTTTTAAATGGAGGAAAACTGGATTTCCAGATACTTAACAGGGATCCAAAACTTTTATATAAGTCATACATAAAAAACCAAGCAGTGTCCATATCATACATACAGTATAGGATATTACTAGACAGGAGATTGAGTTTCTCAAAGCTGGAAGGACTGGATTTGGATTACCTACTAGAGAGGGGATAGCAATAGGGAAAAAAGAGTAGCAGCAGATAAGCAACTGGACCACTCAACTTCAAAAAGTCACCCAGTGCTACATAATACAGTGGCAGAATAAAATCCAGTCTTTGGAGTAACTTGTCTTAACTCTCTTAGCTTTTTTTCCTAGAAGTAACCTGTTTCTTATGCTTTGTTAACATATTAACATTAACTTTATTAATCTTAGCTGATGAACTCAACAAGGTATCAGACCAGACAGTCAAGGGAACGGCATCTTTCGGCACTCCTCCCACCTTCATTCCTGGAGCACAGTTCAGGGAGAGGCAGACTGCGTCACTGGGTACAGCATTAGGAAGTTGAATACAGAAGATACACAGCACCGAAGTGAAGACTGACCTGGTGAGCTAAGCTGCAAGACTTCCAAACTACCACACACCTACTGTTTTTAATAAAAGTACTCATTTAACTTCTTTGTTTTAAGTGTTTCTGGTCAACCTTCTTCTAAGCCCATGCTTTTATACTATATGGGATCTGCAGTCATTGCTCTCTGTTAACTTGCAGAACACATATAAAATAACTCTTTCTCTGGTCAGGGCAGCAATCAGCAAGAAGTTCTTTTTACTCTTCCTGAAATAGTCTCCACAAAACAGCTCTGAGCAATTTTTGGTTTTCTTTCAAGCTCATACTAGAGCACGTCTCTATTGGTTGCTTCTCTCCTTGCTTAGTTTTAAACACACACACCCATAAGCAGACCAGAACCTCTCAGCCTGTACTTGCATTCAGAATAGGCTCAGATGTAGCTTCTCGTGTTCCAATTATTGTTAAACAAAGGGGCACATCATCCTCCCCACTTTCAGCCAGAATGGAAAGCAACTAGCACAGCCATCAGCTTCAAGGA